TTGGTTTTGACATCCTTTACGATCGGTTACGATGCCTAGAGTACGGAGACCTGTACGATTTCGTCAACTTAGTGAGTTTGATAGGGGCCGTATAGTGGGACTTCGGGAAGCTGGACTTTCTTTTCGGGCAATTGCAGTTAGAGTGCAAAGAAGTGTAGACACTGTGGTTAGGTGTTGTCAGGCATGGCTTCGAGAGGCCGTACGCAAAGAGCAAGGGGCACTGGACGCCGCCGTAGAACAACAGACCGTGAAGATCGCCGCCTAAGATTATTGGCCTTAAGGGACCGTTTCTCCATTACCAGGTCCATTGCAAATGTTTGCAGAACACGGAAGACCTATTGGCATGCGAAGTGTTTACCGACGAATGAGAAGTTTTGGCTTGTTTTCATACCGGCCACACTGGGTCCTCCCTTTAACTCGAGAACACCGACGTAATCGCCTTGAGTGGTGCAGACAACGGTCACTCTGGGATCAGGAATGGAACAGTATTGTCTTTAGTGACGAGTCTCGATTTTGTTTAGGCACGCACGATGGTCGTGCCAGGGTTAGAAGGCGACGTGGTGAAAGGAGGAATCCACAGTTTTTTGTTGAAAGGCATGTTCAACACACTGTTGGAGTTATGGTTTGGGGTGCTATAGCTTATGGTACCAGGTCACCTTTAATCTTCATCAGAGGTAACATGAACGCGCAGCGTTATATCCACGAAGTTCTAGAACCCCCATCTTTACCCTATCTTGACCACCCTGGCAGATCCAACTTTCCAACAAGATAATGCCCGACCAACATGTTGCAAGAGTCACAATAGACTTCTTTCAACATAATGATGTCACATTGTTACCATGGCCACCAAGATCTCCCGACTTATCCCAATTGAGCACGTGTGGGATATGATGGGTAGGAGATTGCTCAATTTGCAACGTCCTCCTAAGACTCTAGAAGTACTTCGAGAGGAGTAGGTGGTTGCCTGGAATGAGATACCACAGGAGGACATTGACCACCTGATCAGAAGCATGCCTAAGCGCGTTGGAGAATGCGTAGCACATCAGGGTGCATCCACACATTATTAAAGGTCAAAGGGCTTTAAAGCAGTGCAATCATTTTGAAATTTTTATCATTTACTTATTATGCTTCATTAAGTACTTATACAAAATTTTATTAAAATAGCAGTGTTTCCCAAACGGTGGTACGTGTACCCCTGCGGGTACGCGAAAGGCTTGGAGGGGATACACGTGACCAGAGTGCTGCTGGATCAAACATGCTGAAACCGGCAAACAAGACGACTAAAAAAAATACTGAATGGATAACATATATACATTTAACATTATTACACATCGATGGCAGAAGATTTGTCTCATGCGGAAGAACAATTGTGGGATTGACTTCTGGCGACTTTTCATAAAATAAACATTATGAGTTTAGATTAACATCATTCTGGTTACATAATGTGAATCCGGCTTTGACAGAAAACATTTTGACTTTTTCAACTTCATATTTAAGTTGCTTTTTTCAACACTTTTAGACATTTAAAAAAGGATCAGGTTCTTGGACATGGAACCGCCACTCAGGTAAAAATTAACACCCAGAGAACCAAATTATGACGCTTCGATCTCTTCCCAGCACTAACAATTCCATGTTTTGCGTTAATCAACACAAATATTATTCATAACGCAACTTCTACTTATGTTTGATAATTAATATATTTTGTTTCGTTTCTTACTATTTTGTGTATGTACCAGAGAATGTAAAAAAAATATATGTTTTGTTTTGATAACAATATACACCCCCATTTGTTTGACAATTAGTACTCAGCGTTACGATAATTACAGAAGGGGTACACACATGACAAAATTAGGGTAACATTGCCCTATGGGATAGAAGAGTATCTTGTACGTGCAGGCATTAGCTAATTCAACAGCATAAAAGGCAGGAGTAGTCGTCACGAACGCCTGCGATTAGAAGCTATAGTGATAACGTCTGGAACTGGAAGTGACATACCGAAAAATTATAAATTCAAGCATATGTAATATTGAAATCGATTGGGTAGCAGTGAAAACTAATATTTTTGCGTGTTATACAATATAACAATATTGTTTTGAATTTTAAGTAGTAATTTTTGAAGCTTTCAGATTATCAAGATATTACACAATAACGGCAAAAACTTCTGTTTATTATTCAGAAGTAACTCTATAACACATCCTACCGGTAATATAAAATTATTAATTTATTATTATTAAATTAATAATAAAATTCCGTTTCATGAACAGAAATTATTGCTTATGGTGGATTAGTTGGAATCGCGCTCTTCAGATGGCTGTGGCGCTGGTACAGATGGTTCTAAAAAGCATTCAAGACGATTTATTGTCTGTGGTAACCAATGACCCGAATTTCGCCGAGCCGAAGCACATGGCATCCGGGCAAAGCTCAGATATCCTGTCGGCCATCCACCCGAATGAATTCTATAGTGGGTATTTCTTTCCGAATCAGGTTTATAATTTTCAGACTGTTTCAAAACAAGCTTTATGACCATGAAAGTTCATTACAAACAATTATCCGTTTTTTTACTCAGCTGTATTAAATACCTATTAATAGCAACGCGATGTTGAAGAATGTTCTAAATACCCCACGAGTATTAACGTTTCATCGACGAAGTTTAACATTGCTTCTCAGTTATAAAAGCTCAAGGAACACTATACTATACATGAGCGATATACAATTTCCTTGATCATTCTTGGACATTTTCAATTTTCATCGCTCCTTCAACAGAACCGTGCTTTAGCATTGTACATAACGGATGTGACCATAGCAAACACGTGTAGGTTTATAGACAGTATTCCATTTTATATTTCCCAATAACTATTGCAGCAACGTGTGTAACAATTACCACCTTTATACCTGCACTGTGACTTCGCAGTCGTAGAGGACTTGGTGCCGTTGTGTGCATACCAAATTTTCTTGTATTATGTGAGGCGATTATTTATATACCATCGATATACCTATCATAATACATACAGTGGGTTAATAAAGTATTGGTACACCCTATTTTTTTCTTGAACCTCAATAACGAAAAAATGAATTTTTTGAAACTAAATTTGTTTGGGAACTAACATCACAAATAGTCATTTTTGATGGTAATGGCTTGAGCAAATTGGGAATAATGTAAGAATGATAATAGGAATTATAGACTTCAACAGTCCAAAAGATATTGGCACACTAAAAAAACAAACAAGTAAATAAGTGTTAACAAATTTAACCATCAGAGCCGAAACTTTGAAGATTAAAGAAAGACCAAGATTTAGGCTATGATGGTCTCAAATAAGTATGAAGAAAACCTAACACATAAATAATTAAAAATGAGACACGTTTGTCCAACAGTCTGGGACGGCATGTCGAGGAAAGCAAAGTTACGCTTCATCGAAGAGATTATAAAAACAACAAGACAATTAACATCAACAGCAGCGCTGAAAAACATCCATTTTTCAATAGGATAATGATGTTGCGCATACTCGTACCACTACTGAAACAAAAGGATGGTTACTTTACAATGTTTCGGTACAATCCGCGATTTCCTGAACATTGTCACGTGCTAAAATCATGTAAACTTTCTTTTTACTGTTTTGATCACTTATGAGTAATTTAATTTTATCTTTATTGATTATAGAGTGCCCATTGATAGACCAAACCCTTTTTAATGATTTTCTTTTGTCAAATTCCATAGTTTATTGATTGTAGAATTTCTCACGCATTATATCTGTCATTCTCAGCGACTCAATATTGTATTGAAATCTTTCTTCTATCTGAGAAATCTCCTTTAATTGCGTACCGACGCGTCCAGCTCCATTTTGCTTTTGCTTTTCCGCTGGGATTTTGGTGGCGTGCGGGCGTTTTTTCGTTAACTTCCAGATTTTGGGATATTAACGCCCCACGCACCAGTTTATGGAGTAGTACCCCTTTAGCTTGTACCTTGCGTTTAGTTGTGTTGGTTAGGGTACTGTCCGTCCATTTTGTAATGGGATTTTAACCTCCAGCGGTAAGTTCTCTTTGTATACCATCGGGACTACGTCCTTTAATGCTTGTCCTGAAGAAGTTTGTTCAATATTCCTTTTAGTAGAAAGCCATTGTGGAGAACCACCATTCACACTCCTCCAGCTTTGTTTTGTAGCTGCCTTGTAGCTGTTTGTCAGCCGATTTTGTTGGAAGCCATCTCTTCCCTTTTATAAAAACCCTGATGAACAGGTAACATATAATTTTAATTGGGTATTTTATAGATATTGATATATTGATTGTTGCTGACTGAAATTCTTAGAATGTTCTTGATTTTGTTTGGCATTTTACTAATTCAAATATAGTGTAGTACCTACATGTCACTGAATTTTGGGCTATTAGATTACATCAATCATGATTTTGGATTTTGAGCTACCATAACTTATTTGGAACAAGGGATAACTTTCTGAGGGTATTGTAATTTTTTTCTTTTCTTGCCCTTGCAGAAAGTAAAGTATTTTTCTTGTAAAAGAGAATGTACATGGATTTTTTTAAATGAGTAGTTCTGTCTCAGACATAGAGTAGAGAGTAGATTTTTAAACAGTCTTTTTCTCTCTCTAGGGTTTTTTTTATACCATAAATTTTGAGAACGGGGCAAGCAGCCCCTACTTTGTGACATTTCTTACGTCACTGCTCACTACTGGCCACTGATTTTTTACCTGAGTTTTTGAGAGCTGAAAACATCACAGCTACGCCTAGATCTGTAATTGAAGAAGACCATTGTCCAGATAAGTTAGGTTTAAGCGCTGAAATATGTAAGACCTATATTTGTAAAGCCTTCGTACGTGTACCATGGTAAACGTTTTGCAGGGTTAGTTATTACGGTCTATTAATTTTATTGTCAGGTAGTTTTTAATAACATCTTTTCTGTTAACTTACACTCCACTGGCGGAGCATATGTGCTGCTTGTATTGACAATATATTGTGATTCTTTTTTAGATATCTTGATTCATTTGGCTCTCTGTATACAATTAATTAGGTTTCATCATTAGTATTAGATCCTTTTCTTTGTGTGGTGGTCAGGCAAAACAAGTTCCGACTAACAACTCGGGGATTTGTGGCTTAATCCGTCTTGAGTCACGGGCGCTCTAATACCGCCGCCTACTCTCCGCTTATTGAGCTAGGGCCTAAATTTGCACGCCACATGACAGCTGTTTTGTATTGGCCGACCCTTAGATTTCATTTATAGTAATTTATTAATTCATTAATTAATTTAAAACAAAGAAAGAGGAATCACCCCACCATTTCCTCTTATTTATAAAAAGGCGTGGCAGCATCATTCTCATTGAAACATTTGCGGTACTTGCTGGACCTGAAGGTCAAAAGAAAAAAATGAAATTTCTCTGCGAAACGACTGCTACAAGATGTCCTTATGCAAAAATGGGACCAGTGCCCCTATTCTTGACTTCACAGAAAATCACACTCCCTCTATTTTCCACTCCCTCGGTTTTCTATCGATCGAAAATATTGTCGAAAGGAGAAGGAAATCAAAACACAGGCTTGCCAGGTTTGAGTAAACGCATTAAACCAGTCAAAAGATGACTGATGATTTTGACAGTCAAAAACTAACCCAAGATTTTGGTCAAGATTTCATCCTTATAATTTTATCTACCCCAAATGCACCAGGGAAATCAATCATTGATTAAACTACCGTTTTAGAATGACTAAAACTTAATATCTACTATTGCTTTTGTTTTGATCAAAAGTGCAGAAGCTCGTGGGGGTAGATGTATGAATGGAGTCAATATCTCCAGCAATTCATACACCAAATCTTTGGTCAACCTAAAGATCTGTACAAATTTTCGATCCGTAATTATGAAAGGATCTTGGTGCCCAAGAACGTTCCTCCCACTCTCCCATTCCTCAGCCGCCTCCTCCACATCGTCGTTAAGAATATCGTTCAATACATCAGTTGATTGAAATTAACCATTTTTTGCATATGTTTAGCAGGAACGGACAATAACAATGCCAAACACGTCAATTTTAGGTTATATAGCGCTATTTTTAACTAATTTTTCCAGTTTTTCTTGGTCGGTACCAAGAGAAATCGCGACTCCCTAAAGTGAATTCATTTCTATCACTTTTAGGTAGAATTGATTTCAAGAATCCTGCATTTCTTGGTCACGTCCACTTTTGGCCACTTTCTCTCATAATTTCTACTCCGTTAAACTCAAGAATACAGATCCAGATTAGATCAGAAATTCCATGCCACGATGGCTTCAGTCCGTAATTGATGCAAATGATATGATAACAAAGAACAAGCTGTAAATAAATGTTGTCAAAACACATTTACTTGTTTTTTGTCTGCTATTACTTTTTGACTCTTGAATTTCATAATTCTCATGATTATTCTTATATTATTTTCAATTTGCTCCATCTATTGCCATCAAAATTACTATTTGAATGTTATCTTTCAAATAAATGTAGTAACAAAAAAATATACATATTTTAGTTATTGAGATGCAAGAAAAAAATGGAGTGGAGTCATAAGGCGTATTCTTTAATTAACCAATTTTCTTCTTTTCATTTCCGTCTGGGCGACCGGTTGTACACCAAACTTGTGTATAAACTTGTGTTTATAGACAAATTTTGGTTGCACGGGTGGCTCAACGGTGAATTAAAAAATACGCCTATATACTTTGAAGTTGAGTCATTAATTTTCAGATAATGATTGTAGAAGGAAGATAAACCAAAATATGTGTGTAAAAATAAAAAAAAAATGTTACCTTGTTTTATAAAGTATCCTCCCGACAAGTATTTCAGTGCGGACCTGTATTTGATCGTGCGGTCTTGGGGCACCGGCATGCCCTCCCCTGTGAGGTCTTAAGTCACCTGATTCACGAGCCATTTGTACTACATTAACAAACCCCTCGTGTTGGTTGCACTCTATTAAGAATAAGAATCATGTCCACAAGTTCAGCATTTTCGTAAACATGTGCCATTTTTTATTTCGTTTGAACCACGCAACAAACACCACTATTGACTCACGCGTTAACGACTGACACATTGACTGAATACAACTGAATAAAATTGTAGTAAAAACATCGTGATAAGCGTTTCAAATTCTTTCGCTTTTTTGTTTCCGATGCGATGAACCGATAAGGCGGATTATATCCGATGTCGCCAAACACGAGCACAATATTATTATTGAGACAGGGCGGTACTTAAACTTCTAAAGGGCTATAACTTTGTTACTTTAATTTTACCACAAAAATGTTAAAGGAAAAAAAACATTTCTTTTGATCAGATCTACTCACTGTTAAAATAAATGACTTAACTTCGAAGTCACCCTGTATAAAGGTCGCTTACACGTTTCTGGTATCTCATCTCAAATCGCGGACTGGGCACGCTGAGTTGAGCGTTTCTCTACATTCAATTGCTTGTGTTCAACAACCAATAGCTAAAACGCTTTCGTACACAGATT